CTAGCAATAAACATACTTGTGGTCTATATATTTGTAAAAAGTGTAGTGAGACATATACTAAACAACCACATTATTGTTATATAACACCTAAATTGTTATGTGATTTAAAAGATGAGGATAAAATTAATAAATTTATAGTTTCCTATGATATTGAATGTACACAGGAAAACCTAGAACATGTACCTAATTTATTAATATGTAAAGTTAAATGTGATCAATGTGTTAATGAGAGTGAATGTTTTATTTGTAAATCAGAAACTAAAACATATTTTGGTTCTGATTGTATTAGATTATTTGTAGACTATTTATTTGGAGAATTGGCAATTATTGCTGAAAAAAATCAATCTTTAATTTATGCATTTGCTCATAATGCCAGGGGATATGATGCGCAATTTGTGTTGAGAGAATTATGGAATAGATATTATTCTAAAGTAGAAGTAGTGTTGAGGGGTCGCAAAATTTTATTAATTAGATGTGGTAATGTTAAAATGTTGGATTCTTTGAACTTCTTTTTGCAATCATTAGAAAAATTACCTAAAGCTTTAGGTTTAGATATTTCTATCAAAAAGGGAGATTTTCCCCATTTGTTTAATAGACCTGAAAATTATAATTATATAGGGAAGATTCCTGATTTAAAATATTTTGGGGTCGAATATATGCCATCTGATAAAAAGACTAAATTAGAGCACTGGCATTTGACCCAAATTAATAGAACTGATTGGTGTTTCAAAGATGAGTTAATTAGTTATTGTCTTAATGATGTAGATATTTTATTGAAATGTGTTTTAAAGTTTAGGGAATCATTTAAAACTATTACAAGTTTAGACCCAATTACTCGCTCATTTACATTAGCGTCTATTGCCATGGAAACATTTACTGCTTTATTTTTAAATCATAATGAATTGGCAAATACTCCTGTAGAAGGATATAAAAAATCAAAAATATTTTCCATTTCCAGTAATTGTTGGTTAGATTGGGTTGAAAAAACTGATAATATTAATTTAATTCGAGAGTATAGAATAGGGAAGTATTGGGTCGACGGGTACGATGAAACAAATAAAACAATATATGAATATTTAGGGTGCTATTGGCATGGTTGTTTGTGTCAGAATGATATTGATAGAGATGATAAGTATATTGTAAACAGAGGAGTATCTTATAGTTTAAATGAACGACACAAACAAGTTATTGAGAAAATGGAATTTTTAAGCAAAAATTATAATGTAATTAGTATTTGGGAATGTCAATTTGATAAATGTATGTATGAAAATTTAGATTTAAAACAATTTTATAATATGAGATTTAAATATTATAAAACTTTAAAACATATTGAGCCAATTAAAATAAGAGAAGCATTTTTTGGCGGGAGAACTAATAATATACAATTTTATAAATCAATTAATCATGATGAGGAAATTAAATATTTAGATTTCTGTAGTTTATATCCATATGTATTAAAATATAATGCATACCCAGTAGGTCATCCAGAAATTATAAATAATAATTTTGATTATTCATTAAAAAGTTATTTTGGAATCATTAAATGTAAAGTGATTGCACCTAAAGGGTTATACTTACCAGTATTACCTGTTGTTATAAGAAAAAAGTTGATATTTCCCTTATGTGTTAAATGTGCTAAGAGTTGTTCAAAAATATGTAATTGTGTTGACAGGTCATTTATAGGTACATGGGTTAGTGAAGAGTTAAAATTAGCTATTGATAAGGGGTATTTAATTAAAGAAATATATGAAGTATTAAATTTTAAATGTGATATCAATGAGAATAAATTTATAAAGTATATAGACATGTGGTTAAAAATTAAACAACAGGCCTCTGGCTGGCCTAATTGGTGTTTGACTGAAACTGATAAATTACAATATATTGAAAATTATAAAAATAAAGAAAATATTGATTTGGATTATACTAAAATTGAAAAGAATGAGACCTTGCGTTGGATTGCGAAAATTATGTTGAACTCATTTTGGGGAAAGTTTGCGCAAAGACCTAATCAATCCCAAACTGAGATTATTAAATCATTGAGTGATTATTTTGATATAGTATTAGATCAGGACAAAGAGATTAGTGGTGAATATATGGTTACAGATGAGACCATGATTCTGACTTGGCAATACAAAAATGATGAAATGGCAAAAGCTATGAAATATAATCTAACTGTTGCTAGCTTTGTAACAGCTTATGCTAGAATTAAATTATATGAATTAATGGATAAAATTGAATCTATACGACCTTATAGTTTATTATATCATGACACTGATTCTGTTTTATATTATAGGAAATTATCTGATCCACACATTGAATGTGGTGATTATTTAGGCGATTTGACAGATGAAGTGTTTAAAAATTATGGAAATGATTCCAAATGTATAGAATTTGCATCATTAGGCCCAAAGAATTATGGGTATAGTGTACAGACAAATGATGGTATTGTATCAAATTTAAAATGCAAAGGAATTCAAATGAATTTTCTTGCAAAACAAAGTATTGACTTTAATAAGCTTATTGAATTAGCTAATTGTGATCCTCAAACTGATCCTATATTTATTAAACAGAGGCAGTTTGATTTAAACAGACATAATCAAATTAAAACAAGATATTTTGATAAGAGATTTAGAGTTACTTCTGATAAAAGATATGTACAAAATAAATTAACTTTTCCATATGGATACTAATGAGCACACATTAGTATATATGTATATATAAAGCAGGAGTCGTGCCCTGTAAACTCCAGTAACGTCAGCTGGAGTGAGAGGAGTAGTGACCCTCTCTAATGTATATAAACCTAGAGATCACACTCTAGATGATGGAAGTGACGTCCATATGAATGTCTAAAGCCAATTGTGATCCTGAAACTGACCCTATATTTATTAAACAGAGGCAGTTTGATTTAAACAGACATAATCAAATTAAAACAAGATATTTTGATAAGAGATTTAGAGTTACTTCTGATAAAAGATATGTACAGAATAAATTAACTTTTCCATATGGATACTAATGAGCACACATTAGTATAATTGTATATATAAAACAGGAGTCGTGCCCTGTAAACTCCAGTAACGTCAGCTGGAGTGAGAGGAGTAGTGACCCTCTCTAATGTATATAAACCTAGAGATCACACTCTAGATGATGGAAGTGACGTCCATATGAATGTCTAATGAGCACACTTTAGACAATGTATATATTAATGTAAATATACAGGAGTCGTGCACCTGTTTATACAGAGGTTCGCGCCCTCTTAATTAAACACTAAATAACTAGGGAGCGCCCCCTAGCGGTATTAATACCATACACACACAACACACAATATCAAACTCGATGAAGTGTGACGCAATCGATGTCGTAAGTATGTCACATGACCAGTGTGACGTCATCACAATACAAGCCTCTGATTGGTTTAGACGTAAGTGGGCGTGGCTTATGAGCAATCTAAGCATCTGATTGGTTGATGAGTAAAGTGGGCGGAGTCAAATCCCTGCCTTTGACAGTGCTTTGCGGCTATAAGGGCTCCTTACCTACTATAGTCGATCCTATAAACCACATTCTTTATACGAATTATGGTTAAAAATAATAATTACTAATGTAATGGACTAATTGCAGTAAATAATAAGTAGTTAATTGTAGTTATATGCGGTTAAATGCGATAAGGTTATTGTAAAGACTATAATATAAAATTAATTAATTTCTCAAATATACTGTACATCATATAAAATTTATATTTATATATATGAATATACAGACTGTCCCATATATATGACCCTACTGTGTTTTTCCATAGAAAACCATTATATGACTACAATATCTTAATCAGGTGTCGATCAGGCATCTGTAGACCGATTTGAATAAACTTGGATGTTTTCAAATAAGTAAAAACTATACTTTAAATTCTGATACCCAATAATTGATTTCCCTAAAATCCCGAGAATTTCAGGGGCAATATTTAAAATATTTACATTATTGTGAATTATTCAATGAAATCCTATGGAAAAGACTACTTGCTTAATAAAATCACCAAGGAAAGTATACTCACGATAAATTAAATATTATGTTAAATTAACTAATTACACATAATGATTATTCTATTGAATTAATATTATCCATCTACAACTAGTATATCCAGAATTAGACTAGGTCACAAAATCAACAATATTTGAAATCTGATATTTTAACAATAAAATTGTTTTTGGTAAACGTAGGGTTTGTCGATTATTATTTAAGGCATACCAAATTAAACGTGTATTATTTGCTTTTAAATTCTACTAGTTATTGGTAGACAAAATACTTAGCAAAATGGCAAAATTATGTATAATGTAAATGCCATAAAGTAGGGTCATATATATGGGACACGGTTTATTTATATATATTTATATTTATATTATAAATAGTTTGAGAAGCGCTCACGAATGCGGGCACTGGACTAAGGTTTACGAGGAGAGCATGAGATTTGCTTACAAAACACATCAATCGTTTAACAAACACTACAATATGACAGCAATAGATGAGCGCATCGATTACGTAAGTCTGGACGCTATGCGACTCCCGACCGGACCCTATTTGGTGGGCATTCCTCTCGTGGTTATTGTTTTTATTTTGGAGTTTTATTATTACTATTATTAATAAAATATTGCTGTTTTCAATTCGGTTTTATTTAAGAGTATATTGTTTCAACATTTATTGTGCATTTTATTTTGAACACAAAGTTAAGAACAACATTATAAATTTTTAATTTGTATAACAAGTACATAATTTAATAATGATTCTTGGTATACAGGAATACAGTAAATTATCTCCAGTTCACTGTACATGATCATATTTACAGTACATGTTGTATTGCTTGTTGTTTACATTATTAACGTAGCATAAATTGTTAACCAGATTATTGATTATAAAAAATGTTTCAAAAATATGAAATTTTAATTAATGAAATTGTTTAATTAAACAAAATAACAATATATTAAACTAAAAAATACATCTACATAATTTTGCTATTTATTGTTAATATTATCATCAGATTCTTGATCCTCTTCTTCTTCGTCTTCGTATAAATTCTTGATTCTCTTCGACAGCAAAACCACTATTATATCAAACACTGAACCGATATAATAGAGGGTTAGTGTCAGGCCGTGGAGTCGGTTCCGGAATTTGTCCGAATCATAGACCAGACAATTACCGGTTTTACCACACTTTGACTCCCAGACCTCACACGCCGTGTTTGTGACCCAACCGTACACCAGAGGGTATGGTATGAATGCTTAAATAACAAATTAATTAAAAATAATTATGAATTGTTAAATCATAACAATAATTACCAAATATTGAGTAAAATGCTCCTGCTAAACCCATTGCTAGACTTTTGTCAACCGGGTCTACAATTCTATATATTTACAACAATAAAAACAAAATTTAAATTAAACATCCGTAAAATAATTAGCATTAATTGGTGAAACAGTTTTAAATGAAATACAATAGTACCTGAAAGATATGATAACATTACCAGCCATTGCTGGCCTTCCTATTATACCAGCGATGGCTCCCAATAGTATGAGAATTTCAAAATTGTTGCCACAATTGGGTTCGCAAAAGCCTTCGGTGGCCACTCCCGGGCTGTCAATGCAACTGCAGTCCGAGTATTGCTTTTATAAATAACCAAAATGTTAAGCATCATTGTTAACCCATAAAATTATATATAAACTTTATTTAATTAAATACTAAACGACATACTTTTGTGCCGTTCATTGATATGAGAGACTGTGGACTACAACCGGCAAAACAGGCCGAGAAATAGTTGGTGTAATTGTCGGGACCACAGATGGGCTGAAACTTTTGCGGGCATGAACAATTTGTATTACACATTAAGTCTGCGCCATAGGTACTAAAACATGGTTAGTTTTTATTTAATAAATAATAATTGCAATTAAGTAAAGTTAAACTTCATTATATTATAATTATAATTACTTGGCATTATTGACTGGAAGGGCGGCGTAAGTTGTCTGCGGACAGCCCAAGAATAGGGCCGACACGTAGCTCATTGTGCCTAAGAGTTCAACAACCGTAATAAACGAGGTCAGTTGGAGTGGACCCGGCTGTACGTATGTTAAATATGCACCACCAAGAAGTAGACCAATTGCAGCCGGGACTGTGCCCACAATACCTATTAATATAAATGTATTAATATTTTTTTAATTATTTAATTAGTTTTAATTAATTTTTAAAATAATTACAAACCTGAAAATAGGTTTGCAGTGGAGGCGGACTTTTTGTACTGGGATTCAAGAAACTTGGGTTTGAATGTATAATAACCCATAACACCAAATACGCGGAAAGTGGTACCAAAAACATAACACATGTAGATCGGATTTTTCACCAAACGCAGTAACCTTTTATCTAACCCTGTTCAATTGTAAAAGTATAAAATTAATTGTTAACATTAGAATAATTATTTTTATAAAATACGGACTCAATTCTTGGTCTTTGTTGCGCTTTTTAACCACAACTTGTGGTGATTTTTCACCGTCTTTTTTATTACTAAATACAAGTCCTGTTTTGAATTCAGCCGGAAATAAAAACAAGGGCAAACTGAAGGTAAATATTAAAGTGCCCAGGATGACAAACCCAATCCACCATGCGCCCACCCATCGAGGATCTCTCTTATCACTTATACCAGGGTCCACTAATAATGTTTAGTAAACATTAATTACAATTGAACAAAAATAATCATTTATTTTACTAAACTGAGAGGATTTTCATAAAAATTCAATACATATGACGAGAGAAAGAAAGCAAACGCCGGACCCAACAAACGGAGACACGCGGACAGACCTGTCAATCATAATAAAATTTTAAACAATGATATTGAAAATATTTTTAAAAAGTAAAAATCACAAAACAATACATGTTTTTTGATTTACAATACAAAATATATCATATCTGTAAATAATATCTAAATCACATACTTATATACATCGGAGACTTTTTCTTATCGACGCTGTCGTCGAGGAAAGGTATGCCCACGTAATAGACGGCCGCCGAACCCAAACCGTTCAAAAACATCGACATAAACGGCAAAAGCACCGGAAGTATAGGGAAACTAAAGTAATTATCGTCATCAACGCACTCGTCCACTAGTGTACGGTTGGCGTCACAAAACTCGGCGCCCATCGACTGGTTTGCGGACACAGTTTTGCTCAATAGATGAACGGCCGGTCCGTATATAAAGTACGGCAAAGCGGCCAAATAGCAGCCAATGCCCACCAATATTGTTGAACAACCAATAAGCCGCGGACGGTGAACATGATTAGCCAGATAGCCATAAATCGGCTTAAATATAAGGCCTGATATGTCGTCTGCGATGAGTATAATACCGGATATGAAACTATTAAAAGCGTACCGTTTTTCAAGAGTGGTGACTGAGGCCACGGTATAGGCAAACGCTGATGACTGTAGTGTACCGATGATGGCCAGCATCAGTATAAACATGTTAGCCGTCGCCCATCTTTGCAACCACTTTGGCCTCCAGGAGCCGATACCACAGCCTTTAGACAATGACTCAGTGCTCGTATAGATTGCCATTATTTTGATTTTACATTTAATTTAGTTTATAATTTTAACGTAAATCAAATTTGTTGTTGCATTAAACGTGTATTTAATTAGTTTTTTTCATAACATATCCCGTGAAAAACAGTATTGAACATAAGTGTGAAATAGTTTTCATTGAAATTCAATTATCTATTGTTTATATTTATTTTTATAATTATATAATTTGTCCCAAATTTATATCAAATGTTATAATAATCACAACATGTATTACACAATATTAGATATAAATATACGTAAATCTTTATATTAAAACAGTATTTTTGTGAACAAACTTGCAGTTAGTTATAGAAAGTGTATTAAAACTGTAATCGATATTATTATAAAATTAATGATAATATTTTTGGCAGATTTATTTACATCAAACTATAATCAGCTGATCTGATATTAAGCACATTTTAAATAATCAATTAAATAAAAAAGTACAGTGATTTGTGTGAGAGTGCGTTAATAGAAATTGCATGATCGAATTGTAATTTTAAAAATTATCTTATTGAATATATCCAATTTTGCTAAAACTATTTTAAAGTACATGTTTAAAATTGGTTATGTTATACATTTGTATATATTGTGATATGAACTTTAGATAATAGAGATAAAATTAAATAATTATAATGGCTATATCGCAAAACAAAAACAATTCTTACTTAAGTACCATGATTCTAAGTGTGATACATATTACTTAGTTATAAGTCATTATAAGTGAAAAATAAAAACAAAATTTTAATTTAAACATAACTTACATATTATACTATAATTATGTACTAACTTCTTGAACCTCTTCTTCTTTGTCGTCGTATAAATTCTTGATTCTCTTTGACAGCAAAACCACTATTATATCAAACACTGAACCGATATAATAGAGGGTTAGTGTCAGGCCGTGGAGTCGGTTCCGGAATTTGTCCGAATCATAGACCAGACAATTACCGGTTTTACCGCACTTTGACTCCCAGACCTCACACGCGCTGTTTGTGACCCAACCGTACACCAGAGGGTATGGTATGAATGCTACCGACAAAGTAATCATGCTCACAATTTTCTACTTTAGATTTACTATTAGATAAATACCAAATATTGAGCAAAACCATCCTGCTAAACCCAACGCCAAGCTTTTGTCCTCCGGATCAACAATTCTATACATTTTTAACAATAGAAATAAAAGACATTTTTAAAAAACATAGCATCAAATTTTTTTTAAACTAGTTTTAGTAAATTTAATTAAATAAAACTTTTAATAACCTGAAGGATATGATAACATTGCCTGTCCACGACTGTCCACCAATTATACCACTTATTAGTCCCAAAATTATAAGTATTTCAAAATTGTTGCCACAATTGGGTTCGCAAAAGCCTTCGGTGGCCACTCCCGGGGTATCAATACAACTGCAGTCCGAGTATTGCTTTCATATTAATAATTTTAAGCATGATAATTATTAATCCTTTAACTTTAACCAAGCGAAATATGATTTTGCCAGCCCTTCATCATCGGTTATGCCCGACTATATTATTCATACTTGTATTTAAGTACAAATACATGTATGTTATGAATGGTGGGCATAAGTAGTGACATTTAAAGTTAAAGCATCAGTAATAATAACCAATAAAATTAAAAAAAATTATTGCAAAAATTTATAAATATTCAATTCAAAATCATATCACAAGTCAATGGCTTTACTTTTGTGCCGTTCATTGATATGAGAGACTGTGGACTACAACCGGCAAAACAGGCCGAGAAATAGTTGGTGTAATTGTCGGGACCGCAGATGGGCTGAAACTTTTGCGGGCATGAACAATTTGTATTACACATTAATCCAGTGCCATAATTGCTGAAATATATATTATAATATGAGTTTAAGTTTCATATAATTAGTAATTTTTACGCAAAATTAAATGACATTTAATAAATTGGCAAAAATTAAAGTTACAATAATTACTTGATATTATTCTGTGGCAAAGCGGCGTAAGTTGTCTGCGGACAGCCCAAGAATAGAGCGCCCACGTAATTAATTGTGCCTAATATTTCAACGATCGTAATCAACAAGGTCAGTTGAAGAGAACCCGGCTGTAAATATGTTAAGTAAGCTCCACCTAGAAGTATACCAATCGCATCCGGGAATGTGCCCACAATACCTATTTATTTATATAAATTTAATTTTTACTTTATAATTGTATATCACTTTCATATAATAATAATAAACCGGAAAATATGTTTGCAGTAGAAGCGGACTTTTTGTATTGAGATTCAATAAACTTGGGTTTAAATGTATAATAACCCATAACAGCGAACCAACGCAATGCTGTGCTCAACACATAACAAACATAGATCGGATTTTTTACCAAACGTACAATTCTTTTACACAAACCTAATAAACAACAACAAACAAATTTAATCATATTATTTAATTGTACTTTAATTGTTTTATTATGTACTTAATTTTTTAACATTATTGCGCTTTTTGACTACAAGTTGTGATGAGTTTTGTTTGGCTCTTTTGCCGCTAAATATTGAACCCGACTTGAATTCAGCCGGAAATATAAGTAGTGGTAAACTGACCAGAATTATTAGAGTACCCAGGATCACAAACCCAATCCACCATGCACCCACCCAACGTAGATCTCTCGTATCACTTATACCAGGGTCAACTAAACATTTATTAAATAATTTCTATTATGATTAATTAATTAATTAATAAAATGTTTACTAAACTGAAGGGGTTTTCGTAAAAAGTCAATACATATGACGAGAGAAAGAAAGCAAACGCCGGACCCAACAAACGGAGACACGCGGACAGACCTGACAGTCATTAATAAATTTTAATTATTAATTTATAAAAACAAATTTAAAACATAAAACAATACATCACAACAAGTAATATACTATTTACATACTTATATACATCGGGGAACTTTTCTTATCAACGCTGTCGTCGAGGAAAGGTATGCCCACGTGATTATAGGCCGACTCTCCGATTCCAGTTAAAAACATCGACATAAACGGCAAAAGCACCGGAATTATAGGGAAACCATAACTATTGCTACCATCGGTGCACTCGTCCACTAGAGTACGGTTGGCGTCACAAAACTCGGCGCCCATCGACTGGTTTGAAGACACAGTTTTGCTTAACAAATGAATGGCCGACCCGTATATAAAATACGGCAAAGCGGCCAAATAGCAGCCGATGCCCACCAGTATCATTGAACAGCCGATAAGCCGCGGCCGGTGCACGTAATTAGCAAGGTAACCATAAATTGGCTTAAATATAAGACCCGCGATATCATCGGCTATAAGTATAAAACCGGACACAAAACTATCAAAAGCGTACCGTTTTTCAAGAGTGGTCACTGAAGCTATGGTGTAGGCAAACACCGACGACTGTAGTGTACCAACAATAGACAGTAACAGTATAAATATGTTAGCCGTCGCCCATCTCTGCAACCACTTTGGCCTCCAGGAGCCGATACCACAGCCTTCAGGCAATGACTCAGTACTCGTATAGATTGCCATTATTTTAAATTCACATTTATCAATAAATTAATTTTGTGATCATATATATTATTTTTCATATATCATATTCATTACTAATTATCAGTTTACAATAATTTCCTTAAACATATAAGTATAAGCATTTTTATTAATGAAAATTACATGATCAAATTGCAATACTTAAATTCTAGAATTATTTTCTGATTTATGAATAACTAATTATTTTACTCATTATAATTTTAACTTAACTCACAATCCCTTGAAATTTACAGTATATTTAAGGTATTTAATAAATAATGAGAAATTGTTCCCTCTGTCTATTAACCTTACGATATGAACTAGATAATAGAAAAAAATTTAGTATAGTCCCTAAATTGTAAACAAAATCAATTCTAACTTTATTAAAATTATTTAAATGGTGTTGTATATAACAAATTATTTAAACTATTACAATTGAAAATGAAATTAAACTAAATAAAAAAAAACAAAATTTTAAATTAAACGTAACTATTATAAGAGTATAGTTATGTGTTGTCATCAGATTCTTGAACCTCTTCTTCTTCGTCGTCGTATAAATTCTTGATTCTCTTTGACAGCAAAACCACTATTATATCAAACACTGAACCGATATAATAGAGGGTTAGTGTCAGGCCGTGGAGTCGGTTCCGGAATTTGTCCGAATCATAGACCAGACAATTACCGGTTTGACCACACTTTGTCTCCCAGACCTCACACGCGCTGTTTGTAACCCATCCGTACACCAGAGGGTATGGTATGTATGCTATGGTAAGAAATTAATTATTTAAAAATGATAGTTTACTATTGTAATATTAGTTTTACTAATAATATAAATTAATTACCAAATATAGATCCAAACCCTCCCGCCAGACCCAGAGCCAAACTTTTGTCCTCCGGATCAACGATTCTTCACATTTTTAACAATACAAATAAATGTAATATTTATAAACAAAAAATTTATATTTTTCAACAACAATGTAATTTTGTAGTTTTAGTTTTAGTGTTTTTTAATTAAATAAAATTTAAAACCTGAAAGATATGATAACATTGCCCGTCACCGCCGGTCTCCCTATTATACCGCCTAAAACCCCCAAAAGCATTAATATTTCAAAATTGTTGCCACAATTGGGTTCGCAAAAGCCTTCGGTGGCCACTCCTGGGCTGTCAATACAACTGCAATCCGAGTATTGCTTTAATAAATAATAAAATTTTTAAGCATGATAATTAATCTAAAAAATTATAAATATAACAAGAGACTTTTATAATGGTCAATTTATTAAAATGCAATTTAATATAAAATATGTATTAACAAATATATTTTAATAATAAGATTTAACTGACAAAAGGACTTTTTGGGCTATCATACACTTAATCATGATTATTTGATAGGTTAACCATTTACAGCGCTGTTTTTGTACCATGGCACTTTATGTTTATGGTCCTTTTATACACACTCTCATTGATAGCCCTTTTGTATTGCAATACATTGACAGCTGTTTTACACACTCTTATAATTTAAACTTAAATCTAATTTTAAATCTATGCAAACATTTTTCAATCAAAATTATTTCTGCTCACAATTTCATAGCAATTGTTTTGTTACAGTTTTCTGTTAAATATTTTTATTAGAGAGAGAGAGAGAGAGAGAGAGAGAGAGCCTTACAAAGAGACGCAACACTAAGAATAATTTTATATTATAGAGATTATATTTAATTAAATACTAAATAACATACTTTTGTGCCGTTCATTGATATGAGAGACTGTGGACTACAACCGGCAAAACAGGCCGAGAAATAGTTGGTGTAATTGTCGGGACCGCAGATGGGCTCAAACTTTTGAGGGCATGAGCAATTTGTATTACACATTAACTCTGTTCCATAGGTACTGTAACATCAAATAATAACATGGTGTAGTTTCATATAAATACAAAATTAAATACTATAATTACTGGACGTTATTAACAGGAAGAGCGGCGTATGTTGTCTGCGGACAGCCCAGGAATAGGGCGCCCACATAATTAATTGTGCCTAATATTTCAACTACAGTAATAAACGAGGTCAATTGTAGTGGACCCGGCTGTAAATATGTTAAATAAGCTCCGCCTAGAAGTATACCAATCGCAGCCGGAACTGTGCCGAGAATACCTGTTAATATTAATTACATTTTTAGTTTATACAGTAATTGTATTTCAATTTCTTATAATAATAATAAACCGGAAAATAAGTTTGCAGTGGAGGCGGACTTTTTGTATTGAGATTCAATAAACTTGGGTTTGAATGTCCAGTAACCCAATACAGCGAACCAACGCAATGCTGTGCCCAACACATAGCAAACATAGATCGGATTTTTCACTAAGCGTACAATTCTTTTACCCAAACCTTATTAAACAATATATCATATATTATATATGGTCCATGGTACATTTTTATATAATAGTAATTTAATTGTTGTTATTATAAACTGACTTAATTTTGGGATTTTGGACTTTTTGACTACAACTTGTGATGCATTTTGTTTGTCTTTTTTGCCGCTAAACATTGACTCCGATTTGAATTCAGCCGGAAATATGAGTAGTAGTAGACTGACCAGAATTATTAAAGTGCCCAGTACCACGAACCCAATCCACCATGCACCCACCCAACGTGGATCTCTCGTATCACTTATACCAGGGTCCACTAAATATTTATTAAAATACATTTTTATATAATTAAAAAAGTAAATAATAAAATGTTTACTAAACTGAAGGGATTTTCGTAAAAAGTCAATACATATGACGAGAGGAAGAAAGCGGACGCCGGACCCAACAAACGGAGACATGCAGACAGACCTGTCAGTCATTAATTATATTTATTTATTAATTTTCCAATAAACAAATTTAAAAAATAAAACAATACATCACAACAAGTAATAAACAATTTACATACTTATATACATCGGAGAACTTTTCTTATCGACGCTGTCGTCGAGGAAAGGTATGCCCACGTAATAGAAGGCCGATTCTCCGATACCGTTCAAAAACATCGACATAAACGGCAAAAGCACCGGAACTATAGGGAAACCATAACTATTGCTACCATCGGTGCACTCGTCCACTAGAGTACGGTTGGCGTCACAAAACTCGGCGCCTGTTGACTGGTTTAGGGACACAGTTTTGCTCAATAGATGAACGGCCGGTCCGTATATAAAGTACGGCAAAGCGGCCAAATAGCAGCCGATGCCCACTAATATCATTGAACAGCCGATAAGCCGCGGCCGGTGCACGTAATTAGCAAGGTAACCATAAATTGGCTTAAATATAAGACCCGCGATATCATCGGCTATAAGTATAAAACCGGACACAAAACTATCAAAAGCGTACCGTTTTTCAAGAGTGGTCACTGAGGCTATGGTGTAGGCAAAGGTCGACGACTGTAGTGTACCGATGATAGACAGTAAAACTATAAACATGTTAGCTGTCGCCCATCTCTGCAACCACTTTGGCCTCCAGGAGCCGATACCACAGCCTTCAGGCAATGACTCAGTGCTCGTATAGATTGCCATTATTTTAAATTCACATTTATTAATAAATTTTGTGGTTAATTATGTTTTTGTTACATTAAACGTAACTTCTCTTGCGTTTAAATAGACTTTCATAAGTAATAGTCATTACTTAATATTAATATGAGTTTTCAACAATTTTCTTAAGAATTCAATTATCAATTATTTATATTTATTTTTATTGATAATATATTATGCCCTCAATTTCCAAAACATATAACGATAACCACAACACTTGTTACACAATTATATAACGTCACTCACTTTAAAGCAATATTTTTGTGAACAAACTTTTAATTCAAAAATTTGTATTTAATCTTCATTATATTGTACAATATCATTTGTATGATTGATCATAATGTTTGCAATCACTTTATTCACATTAAATCATAATCAAATAATTTGCCATTGAACACATTTAAATAGGTATTACTTTTATCAAGTGCATAAAGGCATTTGTCAAAGAATATCAAGTGCATGTTTTGAATTGTTCAAATTATAAATCAAAGATAATAATTTAGTTTAATTCGCTAATTAAAAAATTTAAAATTCCTTATAAAATAAAAACACTTTAATTAATTGATAATTACTTAATTAAAAACCATTGGATATTTTAATTAATAATTTATTAAATTAAACTACCTTATATAATTATCATGATGTTATTATTTTTATATTAAACGTGTTATTATCTTGTTATGTGAGCTTTTATCAGATATAAAGTATGTTATCATTATATTGATCACCGATTTTAAAAGAGTTGTCACAAGGACATTTATTTAAATAATTTATACTTTAATTATATTTTATATTGAATTTATAATAAAATATATTGACCAAATAGTTAATAAGATTTGTTTCATACTTGTTGAATTTAATGGTTTTTTCATGTAATAATCTATTAAATAATTTAATTTAAATTATTAATTTTCAACAATTTATTTACACTCAATTCTTGTTTGGAATTTTATTTTTAAAATATTATAATGTAAATATTTTTAAAACAATGCAGTAAAAATTATATTTGTAAACAAAATTTATAAAATATTTAATCAGATGCAATATTATCAAATTAAAAGTAATCTTTTATTGTTCATTTATTTATTCACATTTAGAACATTTAAAAATATTATTTTTGCAATGTAGTAAGCTAAAATTCGATAACTTGTTTAAATAGTATTAGTTAAAATAAAACAATATTTTAAGTAATTATAATTGACATATATAATTTCATTTGAATTTTAGACATGGGTTATTTTAAAATAAAATTAACAATTATTTGTTTAATGCTAACAAATGTCATAAATTGCAAGAATAATAGCTATAACTCTATTTGTGTAATTAATAACGACTGCATTTCCAGTGATATAAATATGGTTTGCTTTGATAGTGTCTGCAAATGTAGTGCCAATTATAAATATAATGTTAATTTGCATTCTTGTGATGAAACCAAATGTTATTCAAATAATGATTGCAAGGACTTTGATAAGAATCGTATTTGTTTGGAGAATAAGTGCCGATGCAGGTAATGTTAACTTGGTCAATCACATTCTCTCTCTCTCTCTCTCTCTCTCTCTCTCTC